TGCTCAGGCATAGCTCCTGCTATACCCGAACGTCTGGGTGAGCGTCCTGTTCTCAGAGAAGCTAGCCTCGTCCTAGACCAGTTACGAACACCCAGTTCTAGTGATGCTGCTGCCCCTCACCAGGGAGTCTTTTGGGACTCCAGCCTAGATCCGCCGAGATCAGCGTGACAGGGGCCACGACATGAACGGTGCAGTCATTGGACTACACAGGCCTGCACTTCATTTTTTGTGCTGACCTTCTCGGACGGTCCTGAGCACCATTTCTGATGCCACTGGGAGTGAAATAGTTCCTCAGTTGCAGATGTCAATGCAGCCTTGGCTGACCGAAGAACTACCGCACTCGCTTAACCCCCACTTTCCTGTTAAAGGGAACATTCATTACTATCGATCTGATCTCTGTCGATATATACAGGGTGAATAAAAAGTCAAGACCCCCCCCCTCTAATATTTTTCCAAGTAAATATACAAAGATATCCTTTTGGTGGTCGAGCAATCTTAGCAGGAAGTTTCATTTTATCATTTTGAAGTTTTTGAGTGTCCCCCCAAAAGGGGGGATTTGGGGGGCAACTCAAATATTTTAAATGTGCCCCTTTAAGTGACACCTCATTTTGAAGTGTTTACAAAACCTTAAAGAATGGTGAAAACTAGAGGTCGCTATCTCTACTCTATCCAAAATGGTAGCCCGTCAAATGTTGTGCAAAATCAATGGTAAAATTGTTAATATTGGCTGCCATTTTGGATAGAGAAGAGATAGCGAGCTCTGTTTTTCACCATTCTTTAAGTTTTTGTAAACACTTCAAAATGAGGTGTCACTTGATAGGGGTTTCTATTGAAACATTTTTAGTTGTCCCCCGAATCCCCCCTTTTGGGGGGACACTCAAAAATTTTAAACGTAAACCCCCTTCAAGTGACACCTAATTTTGAAGTGTTTACAAAAACTTCAAGAATGGTGAAAACCAGAGCTCGCTATCTCTTCTCTATCCAAAATGGCAGCCAATATTAACAATTTTACCATTGATTTTCCACAACATTTGACGGGCTACCATTTTGGATAGAGAAGAGATAGCGACCTCTAATTTTCACCATTCTTTAAGTTTTTGTAAACACTTTAAAATGAGGTGTCACTTGAAGGGGGTTTACTTTTAAAATATTTGAGTTGCCCCCCAAATCCCCCCTTTTGGGGGGACACTCAAAAATTTCAAGATGATAAAATGAAACTTCCTGCTAAGGTTGCTCGACCACCAAAAGGATATCTCTGTATATTTACTTGGAAAAATATTAGAGGGGGGGGTCTTGACTTTTTATTCACCCTGTATATCGATATTTTTGTTTTCCTTTACGATCCATGCCTTTTGTTTTAATATCTTCAAACACATTTAAATTACAAATTGACATCTGATCTTGTTTAGGCGAAAATAGTATATTATGTGGATCGAGAAATAAGTAAAACTGTTCTAAACTAACCTAACATAACTAACCAAACTTGCTGTAGGGCTACCATTTCAAAATTTCGTTTGATAACAGAAAAGGCATGTAAGTAAATGAAACGGGATTTAAAAATGTTACAGCATGTTGGTTGGTTAGGTAAGGTTAGCTCAGAACAGTTTCATTTCAATATAATATTTTTAAATTGTTTGTTGATACTGAACAATATTAACTTATCGTAGTTGTCAGCTGACATCTCGTTCATTAATATCGGTATATCGGATCAAAAAATAGAATATCGATGAATCGAAAAAAATCATCGATAATAATGAATGTTCCCTTTAACAGGAATGTACCATATTTTCTTGTTTATTAAGATCGTAGGAATGTTTTAAAATAGTTTAAAAGAAAAGTCCAGAAAGTTCAGAAATACCGAAACTATAAACACGAAATGACAGGTTAAATCGTAGTTATAATAGTCAATCAGCTGCTCATAGTATTATTATCTTTAAGTGTTGCCAACCTATTTCCAAGCGTACACGGATTACGTGCATAATAGAACCACGCTGTTTTGTGTTGTTTTGTTGGAATCCTGATGTGCGGTAATGTATAAACCGTACGACAAAGTATAAACCGTACGGCAAAGTATAAATATGCAGCAATTAGCAGCTTTCTGTACTATAAACAGTACAAGGAAGCCAACTTTGTCGGGTGACAGTAGGAAAAATATTTTTTTTAATGTTTGATCTTGATTTCTTAAATGTGATACAGTCTACTCGGTAATTCAAACACTTGATAGCCTAAATCGAAACATTTGATAAATCTCAGTCTCTAGATAATCTCTTAATATTTCATATTATTTTTACCATGCATTTTGATACACAAGGGTATTTTGAAGTCCAAGCAGAGTTCAGGCCGATTTGGAACATGCAGTAGTTCCATCAGCAAAACTGTAATTTGAAGGGAGGGATTGCTTCCTGTCATAACAGGAAACTATACAACCTTTAGCACAGTAGTTTGTCTTAAATAATGCCATTGATGATGCAAGAGTCAATAGAAAAAAAAACAAACAAAAATTACAGATTTTTGTAACAAACTTGAACAGTTGTTTGTTGTTACAGTTACAGAACACACACAGTTACATAATTGTTGTTAAAGTTGTAACAAACAGCTTGTTTGTGTAATAAGCTGTTGTTTGTTGTAAAGTTACTAAAATATGCTGTTTGATAAGACTGTAACATTCTGAACCTTCCTTAGTTATTTACATAATGCAGTGGTTTACCCAACGATCACGTAAAGATAGTGTTAACAACCCGAGTAGAAAATGTATGGTACGAGCCTTGGCAAGTGCCTTTAAAACTTCTACTAGTGTCGTTAAAACTATTTACGCGAGTTTGAGTACACTACTTTACCTATGACCGTTTTTAATTATTAACAATCACTACTCATAACTTCTATTAGAGGTTATGTTTTCATTTATAACCTCTCATTTCCACTGACAGTAATGCAATGACCCATTGTATCAACCACTAAACGTACCAATAGTTAACAACCATACTAAACTAGCTGTACCCGCGGGCTTTGCCCCGTTTAACTTCATAAGTATTCGTATGGCTCAATCACGTCCTGGTTGAAGTTCGTTCGCTACGCTCACTCACCTTTAGGTTGGAACTCGTTCGCTGCGCTCACTTGTTTTCAGGTTAATGTTCGTTCGCTACGCTCACTCACCTTTTGGTTGCAAATTAGCTGTTGTCATAAATAATAGTGCTGTACCCTGTTGGTAATCCTTGTAACTTTAATGCTATTGAACATCATAGAACAGAACCAACTCGTTTAATTGAAACAACTGTTAAGATTCATTAATTCCTTTTAAATATGGAAAATCATGAGGTTAACATGGGAAACTCCAGAGCCACTGGGGCGGAGCCCGAAAGCCCGATCAGAATAAAAACTACTTAGTTTTCCTATTTAATGCCCAAAGAATCGGTTTACCGAATTTCAGCCTCTAGGTAAATGGAAAGTGGGAGAATTAGTGATGAGTCAGTGAGGGCTTTGCCTTTTATATTGTGTGGAAAGATAAAAATATTAAGGCATTGTCATCCCTTTTATTGTTTATAATACTTTGATAAAGGTTTTTATGTTTTAATATTTAACATTGGAGAATTTAAACGTTGTTAAGTGCACAGGTGTGCTGCGATTGGGGTTTAATACATTTGGACTTAGTCAAAAGTAAAATAGTTTTCTGTGCTGCACTCTCTAGAAACACTGTGGCACTATTTCAAATCATGACTAATGCTAATACAGAATTTTGTGATTATTCAAACCTTCAAAACAGTTGGTGAAAGTAAACTTCCGCTTTTAAATTATATTTATTTGTAAACATTGTAGATCAAAAAGTCTGACATTGGCCCACTTAAAACCCTCTGGGGCAGAGCCCTTTTGACGGATCTGCACCAAACTTCACTCAAACCATCCTTGAAAGATGCTTAATAATGCCTGAAAGTTTCATTACAATCTGTCGAGCGGTTTCAAAGTCCATAACGTATATACATATATACACACATACATACATACATATAGTTCCTCTTTTATAGATATAGATCGGTAAACAGCTGATTAGTTGAAGTTCAAAGCATTACAATTTTACTTCTTTTCTCTCAATTCTTGAACCTCATTGGTCCTTTAATCGTGTTGTTAAGTAAAACAACAATGCTGCTAAGTAAACAATGCTCTTTAATGAATCTTTTCAATTCTAAGAACTGAAATGACAAGGCTAGTTTAAAAAACGGTCGTAGGCTATAAATTAACTCTTTGTAATTCAAATGGTTTATTTTTCTCCCGATCAATCAAACTCTTAATAATTCAAATTTATTTACATGGCCCACCATATTTAGAATTGTGAAGAGGCCACTGTAACACATTGTGAACCGTAAAGATTGTTAACATGATAGTTTACTAATAATAGTTCAATAGTGTAACTTTGTAGATGGCATATTTTCTAAAAACTGTATAATACAACTAACTACCTAATTTAAATTTATTCAGCATTGCCTCCAGGATTGATTTAAGACAATATAAAATAGGTTACGTACCTTACGTCATCAATCCTAGGATAGGTAGTCTTTTTAAGCAACTAGTTTTGAAACTGACGTTTCATTTTCAAGCCTTGTCTAACATAAAATTATTTGAACATAATGTCGGCGTTATTATCTTCAAATAATTTCATGTTAGACAAGGCTTGAAAATGAAACGTCAGTTTCGATACTAGTCGCTTAACCTATTTTAAATTGTCTAATTTAAAGGTGCTTAAGATGAGGTAAGTACTGTCTACTAGCCTGTTCCCTTATTCTCGAGAAAATTCAAGGTAATTTGATTGAAATTACCTCCATAGACAAGAGAAGTAAATAGCAAGATTTCCCCTGTATGTCTGCGAGCACCTATAAATAAACTGAACTCATTTAACTCACTCCAACAAGCTAATTGGAAAGAGTAAATTTGTTACCTGGTTTTTCTCTAATATTTTCTTCGATTAGTGTTTGGTTTTAGTATTATTTGGATACTATTTTTTGTTAAAGGACTGGATTTCCAGGATATGATGACGTTAGGTTCAAAGCTGAGTGAAGAGGAAGATGTTGCACGAAGGTGTAAGATTCTCTCTGCCACCATCAAGGCATACCAAAATTCCCTCACTGCTTTGGAAAAGGTATTATCTATTATCAATTATCAACCATTGAGATGGGGACCCCACCTAGGTGCATATTTTAACCCTAATATGAGTGAAGGATGAGTGTAAAATGGTGTGTGATGACCTGTGTAGCTTAGTTACCGACTAAGATCAGTGGTTTCATTAGTCAGGATCATTTATTTAAAGCGCCAATGATCAGGAACAGCTGGGTCCAGTTTCGAACCATCAATAAGCTACTGACTTTTCTCAGGATCGAACCAGCGACCTTTTGATTACTAGGCGAGCACTATAATAACCACTCAGCTACCCAGCCAGTCATTATGTTTGTTGTTACAGTTACAGAATTATTAAATTACACCTACCAGGTAATCGTTATTGAAGTAAAAACCACTAGATTTCACATTCAGTTTATTAAATTTCTCGATTCTACCTCATGATCCTAATATACAAAATCAATAAGCAGCCTGTTCATGGTTCAATCTGGATGTTATAATATCTTAACTGCATTTTGATCCTCCTAATAAAAAATATATAAAATCAATCTGGCTATTGTATTTTTACATGTATGTAATATCATAGATTAAAAGAAGTAGACACAGATACCCCACGAGATAGGGAAGTCGTGAGAGCCGTGTTTGAGTACGAACAGTCGCTGTTTTGGCGTTTGAGGCCCACCGTGTTGCCAATTCGTGCAGCGCAGGTACCGGAAATTCCCCGTTTCCCACAGAGTGAGATAGCAGTAGCACTGCACCGCAGCGTTCAAGCGGCGATTTCCTAGCGACGCGATTAAGCCTGTTACGCTGCGTGCTTCGTGCTCCGCGGTTGCCGGAACACCGATCCCTTTTAAACTAATGAGACTGTTTTCCTAGCGGCGCGGTGCGCGACTAACCGCCAACTGCGCAGTGCGCAGCGTGATTGGGACCACTGCCTCGAGAGCAGTCGCAAACCACGCTGCCGAACTGGGCCATTGTTTACATTGGAAATATGGAGAAAACCATAAGTTGTAGTGATGTTACCAAGTTCACTGTTGATGATGACAGTTTATTAATTGACTGTGTCCGAGTTTGAAATTCTGTGGAAAATGAGCCATCCTGATTTTAAAAATAACTTGAAGAAGGACAGGCTTTGGAGTGGGATAGGGCAAAAAATGAACAAGACAGGAAAACTGATCTTTAGTTAACCTAAAGTATTCCTTAAATTTTACTTCATTGTCTATCAGGTGCCAATTAATAAGAATACTAAACGCACCCTCATGGCTCCTAGATCTAAACAGTTCTCTACAGGAATTTCGACTTTTGGACAGTAGAGCTTGGGCTATGTCGACATCTTCGTCCATCTCTTCCTCTTCCACCAACAACATAAAAGCGAGACTCTTCTTTCTCCGATCCATAGCAGAACGTTACTGTGGAAACCGCGAATCTGCTTGTTACGCAACGCATTGCCGGATTTCTAGGAAAACACTTTTGCGCAGCGTAAAATTTTAATCACGCTGTTCCTGGCCACGCTGCATTCTTTAGATTAATCGCGTAGCACGCAGCGCGGTTACTGAAGTTGGAGGAAAACACACCTTCACCGACCAGCCAGCGGCCTGGCCCTCAAACTTGCTCAAACCTCACGTCTATGGGACTTTTGTTTGTACCATCCGCTATATTTCACTCCGAATATATTTCTGTTTTATTTCCACTTGTTTATGAAATATGTCTGATGAGTTTAAAAAGTAGGTCTACAAAGTGTGTTAATGGTCGCAATGTTTTTAAAACTAAGGTTTAATAATCCATTTACAAATCCCAAAGTACCCATGAATTTTTAAGAAAACTACAAGTCACACCCCCTTAAACCATGTACTTAAAATTTTCGTCATGACGAGAAACCTTGCCATTATTATTAAATGTAATTATCCATTATTTCATAAAGTGCCCTTAAAGGTCGTAATTCCTTTCTAAAATGCACAACTCAAGTTTGGGGATTGTAAGACATTTCAAAGGAGCGACCTTGGATTTAGCTACAATAAATGCTGTAGGAATGTCACCACAGCTTGTTTCACAACGTAAATAAAGACAGGCACCATAGGCTTCACCAGATGCATCAGCAAATCCATGGAGCTGAAAAGTTTCTGAATTCCTAGGAATCACAAGACGTGGAATTCTCAAATCTTCAAGTAAATGCAATTCATCAATAAAATTGTGCAATATTTTCATAACATTTTCATCTAACTGATCATCCCAACCAACACCTAAAGTCCACAGAGCTTGCATCATCTTTTTGGCATACAATACCACTGGTGTCACCCATCCAAGAGGGTCGAATATTGTACTCAACAGACTTAAAATAGAACGTTTAGTTGGTTTGGAATTATTCTTTAAATTACTCAATTTCACTTGATACATAATCTCATCAGATACTGGTTGCCATTTTATACCTAAGACCTTAATTGCATAGGTAGTTTAACTTGAGGCTGCATTTTATTGACAGTTTGAATGAGATTGTTAGTTGATGTAGACTGGCATCTCTTATGGGCCCCTAAAATATGGAAATACATAGACTCAATTTCTTCGATAGATGCTTGTTCATTTTGTATTTCTTCATCTAGTCCTAATGTAATCAAAATTTCTAGAATTTCATTTTGATATTGATTGTGACATTGATAATCAGATTTTAATTCGTCAAACCTTAACTTGAAACTCGGTACTATCATCAGATTCAATAACGTGATCTACACTCAATTTATACAAAGTAGTTATTCTTTCAACAACTTTAGCCTTTTTCAATCGAAGAAGTTTCAATGCATTTTCATTGTTAATACTCATTTTCAATTGAAGATTGATTATTCCATATAACTTGAAACAATGTGAATCCAAATTTAGGTAGTAAGTCTTGCTAGAAATTTAGTCTATAAAACTCACCAAATCTTCTTTGTTTAATAATTTACCATAGGTAATAAATTCTTGACAATTGTATTCGGCTTCTGATTGGACCAAAATGTTAGGTAACTGCGTTGCGTTGAAATAAACTTATAATAAAAAATAACTAAAGAGCTTTAAGTGGACTGTAATTGTGTATATTTTAGAAAAAACAATGAATATAACAGATGTAAATTAAATCAGCACAAAACAAATGTTAAAGAGGAAACAAGCAATATGATAATATGGCAAAGAGTATCAAACAGATGTGGTTGATAGGTGTGCGGTTTACGGTTTTGGCAAAAGTTTGTGATCCTTATTAACTTACTACATAGATGTTAGGAAAATATTACAATCTCTTTAGCCTTTCTGAGTGCTTTAAGATTAAGATTCACTTGTCCCTTACAGTGCCACAAGCCTGTGATCGGAGCAGTACATAATGCTTGTATTGGCGGAGGAATCAACTTGATTGCAGCCACGGATATCAGATATTGCACGAATGACGCTTGGTTTCAAGTCAAAGAAGTTGACTTAGGTAAGCTAAGCAGTCATGACGATGCGTTAGTTTATTCTTCCTTTGTTTAGATCAGGTTGTTGGAGCTGTACTGATTTTTTGTGACTTGTAGACAACTTAGATATAGGTAATTAAAATTATGAATTTCTTAAACCAATGTTGGCACTGGTCTGTTATTCCATTTCACATTCTTAATGACGCTCCTTCTAATTTTCTCAATCTGTGAGTATTTAATAGGTAGAGTATTTAATCATTGATACTGTCGTCTCTGTGGTGTTGCTACATACATAATTTTAAAGACCTTAAAAACATTTTAATTCAATCAGACTTAAAACAACCTTTTATGAGAAGATTCATACTAGTTCTCAGTGGGAACTGTTTCTCTGTATCCATTGTAAATTAAAATTTGTCCTGTTTCTACTTTTACTGGTTTTTAACCGTTAATTAATAATTAATATACTTTTAGCGAATTTCCCATATATAGGGAATAAGCTATTACCGTAGTACTCATGGTAAGACCTGGACCCGGGACCGATTTAATTTTTCGTTTTGAAGTCCCTAGAGGCCAAAAACACCATCCCTTCAAATTCATATATATATATATATATATATTTATATATATGTGTCCGTTAGCGCGATAACTCGAGTAAAAATGATCCGATTTAGATGAAATTTGGTACAAACGTGTAAACCTATGTTTATTTGAACGAGTTCGCGAACCAGCATGATTGGACCATGGGAATAGGGATTATTTCTCACTTAGTCTGCAGGTTTGCTGCGGCGGGGGTATTTCCTTATCTTATGTTTGTGGTCCAGGTTTAACAGCAGATGTAGGAGTGCTACAGAGGCTACCCCGACTCATTGGCAACGCTTCTCTAGTCAATGAGTTGTGTTTCACAGCGCGCAAGCTGCCAGCTGCTGAGGCGGCCGCTGCCGGACTGGTCAGCAAGTTGTTTGACACAAAAGACTCGTAAGCTTTTTATCTTAACATAGCTTACAGTTTAACTGATCCATATCTTCTGTCTCTTCTATAGTAGTGCAGGGTGGCCACATACTAAGAATCATGAGTGTTTTTAAATTTCACCACAAATTTAAGAAAAGTATTTAGTCTGCGCTCGGCTCGAAAATATTATGTCACATTGACCTCTAGTGAAATGTACCTTGGTGACCGGGAAACCCATGTTTTTCTGCCGGAAAACTGTAAAAATTGTGATAATTTTTTCCAGGAGTTTTGTGGCCACCCTGTAGTAAGTAGTATTAGGTTAAAACTTTTTTTACCAGCAGAGGCTTAAAATCCCAGAATTGATTTAGAATTTAGGCTAGTATAATTACAATGAGATACTTTAACACCACAAACTAGGTATTCTGACAATGTCACCGATAGCATTGACTATACACCTCTACTAGATTGAACACTATGCGGTCGCTTTGTTAACAATACACTGGTTCTGCGTTAGTGTATGGTCCACGTAGTTATGTTAGATGACGCTAGGCGCTCTTCAAGCGCCTTTAGTTCCCTTAGATAACGTAGGATCGCGCTGCGAGCGCCCGTCGTCTGTCACTGCATACAACCTCGGCTACGATGCGTATTGCGACTGCGAGCCGCGAGTGCCGAGCAGTGGCGGTTACTTTGTTGATTAGTGCGCGGTAAAAAGTACAAATTGCTGGGTCCCCCATGAGATATTGCGTGATATATAGCTTGCCTACTTTGATTGTGTGTCTCGTATCTATTGGCAAATGTCAGCTGATTTTCATTAAACCAAATTAGATTATAATTTCCAGCAAAATTTTCCAAAACATGGCATATTTAAGACTAAATATGATTGATATAAAAGTATTTTCTAAAATCATTATACACAATTTTGCTTGGATACCGTGTTATGCCTCGTTTTCATCATCTCACTGAGGACGTTTTCAAAAATGAACATTCCTAGGGTTAAGTTGTAAATCATAGAACAAAAGTGTACTGTCTGTGTGACTGAGGAATTGCTTTTTCGCAGAAGTCGTTACTAAAATGGAATAAAATATACACTTTAGTCAACAAGTAATTATAACCATCACCATTTATAAATTATAATATTTTGGTGCTTTACAATTTAATTAGCTATTATTGTTTTTTTGACTGAAATAACACCTCTACTCTATTAGTATACAGGGTGAGTTTTAATAATCCCCCCCCCCCAACTTTTTTCTACATTTTAAATATGAAGGGGGTGTTGTGACCCATCATTTCGAAGTACTTTTTTAAGCTGAAGACAATGCCACAATCCATTTTTTGTTATCAAGTTTTATTTATGAAATATTGAAATTTTTTTGTTAAAAATGTCAATATTTCAAAATCAAAAAATGAAAATGAAAAACGGATCATGGAATTAAGTTTAGCTTAAAAAAGTAGTTCGAAATGATGGGTCACAACACCCCCTTCATATTTAAAATAATTTATCACATTTCAAAATGGCGGATCCAAGATGGCGGCCGAAAAAAATAAATCAGTCATAACCAAGTGAAAATAGGTCGACAATTACTGGTAGTGTATACTTATCTTTATCTAGCACTATTTTGAGATTATGGTCTTAGTTTGTAAATGCACAATGTTAAAATGGGCTAAAAATAAATTTTTAAAAAGCCCTCATAACTTTAGAATGAATCAAGATTTTTTTAAACGGTTTGCGGCATTGTAATCAGGGCAAAAATTTAGTTCGAAATAATGGGTCACAACCCCACCTTTACATTTGAAAAAAAATTTTGCATCCAATATGGCGGATCCAAGATGGCGGCCGGAAATGGCCACCTTGTCAAAATGAAGTACTTACTACCCAACAATGTTTGGAAGTGGTCTGGGATTGATATTTGAAAAAATGTAGAAAAAAGTTGGGGGGGGGGACAATTAAAACTCACCCTGTATAATGGATTAAGAAAAATGAACAACAAGAAAATTGAAACACGGTTAAAAACTACAAAGAATTGTCAATAAAGAACACTTTTATTAGAAGAACATTATTTAATAATAAGAATAAATGAACATACATACATAAAAAACCAATGCACTCAAACATTACTAATCAGCCTTCGGGGATCGCAGGTGAGAAAATATTACATAATATTTGAATAAATAAATATAGGATGGAGAGGACACAGCTAACTCACCTGATGAAAGGTTGCAGACGAGTCAAAGAACACATAAAATCACACACATAAAATACTTAATATTTCGCCTCTTTCAGAGGCTTCTTCAGAAGTAGGCCTAGATGGTAGTTACAAAACAACAGTTTAAATAGGATGACACAGTTTGATGGCAATGATTTTAGAGCTTTTATGGTGAAACAGTCATCAAATAGAAGTTGGTGGGATAAGGCATGTTGTGCAACTGGTTTTTCTTTGCTAGTTTTAACATCATGTCGATGGCCGTTCATGCGTTTTCGGAGAGTCTCGGTTGTTAGGCCTATGTACTGGGCTGGAGTAATTTTTAAACGGTGTAATTTTTAAATGGAAGCATATAACATAAAACTTAATATGGAACCAACTTGACAAATCAAATGTTCATTCTAATGGGTAAGAAAACGTTACGAGGTATATTAAAATGTAATATTGAATAAATGCAAACGATGTAGCATTTTATACAGGGTGTTCAAAAAAGTTGGGGACATATTTTACCTACTGATTCCTTGGGTCAAAATAACAACAAAATCAAGAATATTTTTTTTTTCAAAATCCCTTCGTTAACCAGATATCCACCATTTTGTATTTTTTACATAAACATTTTTATCTTTTAATATATTCAACTGATCTTAATTAAACTTGGTATGTATGTTAAGGTAGAAGAGACCCGTGTTGGAAAAAAAGTTCATCTCGATTCAACCTAAAATTTCAAAATGGCGGTTATTTAAAATGTTTAAACTTAAATTACTCAAAATTGGCTGGTTTTATGAAAAATTTCAAAAAACACTTTTATTTAGCATGTTTATTATCTATCAAACGATATCATATTAAAAAAAGATCACATAATAAATAGCTGAAATATGACGATTTTTAGTTGTAAAATTGGGTACGTTTGCCCCATTTTACAACTTAAAATCGAAATATTTCAGCTATTTGTCATCCAATCTTTTTGAACTTGGCATCGTTTGATAGATGAATAATAATGCTAAATAAAAATGTTTTTGACATTCTTTCATAAAAACAGCCATGTTCGAGTAATTTCAGTTAAAAAAAATTGTAAATGGCTATTTGAAGTCTCTATGTAGAGTGAGTCATGGATATGTTCTTATTAGCATAATAAGCTAATTTCTGACATATTTGTGCACTTATTTTTAATTGATTTGTCTTCTAGCAAACCAAAGTCAACTAGTTAGATCAAATTAAAATTGTAGGCTAATCTGTAAAATTGAAATTCGATGAGTCACCAAGTTGTGAATTATCCGATTTTGTTGAAACAAAAATTAAATATAAGCTGGTTTAAACACATTTTACGTGGTAACAATGAAACATTGCCGTTAACAGAAACAATTATATAGTTGAAAGATCCTAAAAAGTACCGGTTTTTATAGAAACTCTGCACTAACACTGAAGTTTAAAATTTAATTGTAAACAAACCACTTAGCGAATCTTTCTGAAATTTTTATGGCTTATTGGTAGGCTTATTGTTAACATTTCCATGCATTTAAACATTTTTACTCATAATAGTTTTTATGCTGCTGTTAATTTTTAAAACGTATGCTAACATCGTTAATAAGATGCTAAAAATTTTGTTAAAAATACCATCGTGTTTGTCATGATGACACAACAAATAACACCAATGTTACAGATTTATAATGTGAACAACGATGTTTTTTTAAACAGTGTGGTGGCCAGAGGCCAGGTACACATCGGCAATGTCGCAGATTCACTCGCGCTCCCACCCGGCTGGGAAATATCGTACAAACACCGAAACACCAGGCTGCCCGATGCCAGTCGCGGGAGAAATTTTTGTATAACAAATATAAATCTGTTTAAACACCTTTGTTCGCATTATAAATCTATAATATTGGTGTTATTTCTTGTGTCACGACAAACACGATGGTATTTTGAACGAACTTTTTAGCGACTTATTAACGATGTTAGCATACGTTTTAAAAATTAACAGCAGCGTGAAAACTATTGTGAGAAAAAAATTTAAAATGCATGGAAATGTTAAAAATAAACCTACCAATCTTACTAATATTATAAATGTGAAAGTTTGTGTCTTTATTTGTTTGTTTGTTTGTTTGAAGTTCAATCACGCATTAACTACTGGACAGATTGGGCTGAAATTTGGCATGATGATAGCTCACATTCCCGATTAACATATAGGTATATATTGTTATCAAAAAAATCCTTTCGGGCTCCGCCCCAGTGGCTCTGTAGTTCCCCATAATAACCTTATGAGTATTCATATTAAAAGGAATTAAAGAATTTAGTCAGCTGTTTCAAATAAAAAAGTTGGTTCATTGATATGCAAAAGCATTAAAAAGTTATAATATTCACCAACAGGGTGCAGCACTGTTGTTTTTATTTTGCATTTACGAAAACAGCTAATTTGAACCAAGCAGCAACAAAAAACTGATACTTAATGAGAACTGTCAAAGTAGGATGGTTTACAGTTATGTTTATGTCCTTAAGACACAAAGAAAATTGTAGTTGCTTAAATTCAGAGGGCAATTCGGATGAAATCATTAGTATTCTTGAGATTAAGACTATTTCTCCTTTAAACTTACCACTGATAACTTTTGCTTCAATCAATTTTGGTGTCATTTTTTCAATCGTCAGTCTGGTAACGTTACACAGCCTCGGTGGATTTACGATTCGCATTAGCATTATTGGAGTTCCTTCTTTTAATGACAGTAATGTGGTGGGTTATTGAGAGGCATTTGAACACCTGAGATAGCACGCACGATTATTATTCACTTAATAATTTATGTTAGTTAGACTAGGTGTTTACAGGTCAAAACTAACGACGACGTGCACAACCGTTACGACCGTCGCCGTGCTCAAACATTTGCGAACTGAAGTTTGGCAACAATACAGCTTTTAACATTTTGGTGTCAAACTAAGAAATGAATGAGATGGCACAAAAACTTTATGACACATCACTCAAAGGTAGCGAGCGGCATGTCATGTCCCAAAGAATTGAGACGGCGCCTCGCGCCCAAAACCGTCAGGTGACGGACTACTTAAACATCTGCCTATTTAGTCCCCTAGTGCAAATCTGTGGTTTTGACTCATTACAGCTATTTCTCAAGTTCCTCACATAAAAATAAGTAGCATACTTTATTGGTATTTGGTACTTTATTAATAATCGGTCAAAATGGCCGATTTTTGTCAAATTTTACACCAAATTTATTGAAATTTCAAGGTGAATATTAATAAAACAATTATTACCAAATATTTGTATTCATTTAACAGATTGATTTGTGGTATTGGGTTCCCCACTGAGTGCAGCCGAGCGGCACTAATGAGGGTCGGACCTTCTTGGGGGTGAACAATAGACGGCTTATCAGACCCTCCCCTCCCCCGTGGTCTGGAGAAAGCTTGTAAACAAACTATTGCACTTGACATTGGGCTGCTTCAACTATAATTTTCTCAAATGAATTGTGATGTTTCAAAATCAAAAACAATAATTTGGACCATACTGCTTAACAATAATGGACTGCAATTATTGTTGAACATACAATCCATTTTTAACAAACTAAGATTATACGATTCAAATACAATTATAAAAATTATCTTGGTATTTTACTTGGGGTAATGAAGTTATGTAGGCTAGTGTAATTCTCGGTTCATCAAGGTTCTACTGAATTATGTTTGGCAGTGAATAAGTGTAGAATGCAATTTATAAATTCAGGGATACACACCTTTTACAAAGTTATAAAGTCTAATTTAATTGCCCAACATCAAATCGTGAGCTAGAACCCATCTTAGTGCATTAGTGATGTTTTCTAAACTTGGCAAACCCGCAAAATGCCACTTAAGGCCAATAATCCGTTCCAAAAACGTAAGGACATACAATGTGAAAATAAACTTGAGATCGAACTCCTTGGCTTGTGAGAACCAGGAAACAAGATAAAACATAACCTCAAGTAAACAAGCCCAAACGTTTGACATCAGTCCTGCTGAGCTAAGGTGTTGTGTGAAGATTTCGGCTGCTAGTGTACTTTTTAATATAATATAATACATATAATTTATATAATTCAAGCAACCAACTTTTAAAAATAAATGTTGTGAATTGTGAAGAGAGAGAAAACTGTGGAATTCTATAGTTCAAAATCGTCATTTAAGTTTATTTACACAGCTTTACATTGTTTTATAGGTTAAAAATACATATGCAACTTATTATTAACCGCGCCGAACTATCCGAATCCGAAAATATCCGAATCCGAACCTCCCAATATCCGATCCGATCCGAACCGAGCCTCAACTATCCGATCCGAAATGAAATTTCACTATCCGCACGTTTATCCAATTTTAGCAGTTTATATTATTGCAACATATTAGGATATTGTGAGAAATACTATTCAATAGTGTACAGCAGGCTCTGTTTTATAAACTAGATTTATTTATGTTAATTTTTGCCATTTAATATTATATAGTTCATTTAATGAAAGGCTTATTTCAAAATGTGTATCCGGTGTTGAAATAATAAATTATTAATGGTGAGGCGTTCCCGACCCGTGTCATGTTGAAAACATCATGGAAGTTGATACTTTTGTCCAATCGTTTAATGTTTCATTAATCAAAAGTTGCATAGTAGAGCTGACTATGGTTACATGAACACGGTATCAGCAGTGCCAGAGGCCAGATCTATGTCACTCGACGTCGAGCCCGGTGTGGGTGAGATATTGATGTGATGGTTTTAGTTTTATTTACATCACTTCCGCTGTCATCGGGCCCGGGCGACTGCCTAGCTGAGTGCCGAGGCCGAGCCGACTAGTCTCGTCTCTCATTGTAGTGTGCTAGTGCTAGTAGCTTTCACATTCTCCGCGCGGGGGCAGCACCAGACAGAACACATGTTTCCGTTATATGACGATAGGTTGCGTTGCTACCGCACCACTATCTGGTTATCAACTAAATGCATTACATGTTCAATCTAGTAGAGGTGTATAGTCAATGCCGATAGCAGCTTATAACTATGCTCTAATGTTTCAGCCTCATTACAGTCATCAGAGCAGTTCATTCAGTAAGTATCAGGCTCTGATGATCACTGACTGCAACGAAACCAAATTTCCCTCAGTGCCGCAGCCGGACCGAGAAGACCTAATTTATTGTTAGAGTGAAGCCTTACTTCTTGAATTAGAAGATACATTAGTATTCAAAACTAACAGGGGCGGCTCCAGGAATAATTTTTTTTGTAGGCCTGACAAGGATTAAATAAGAGTTTGATCGGGGGATGAGAGGTTTGAAGGGATGAACAACAAAAAGGGGTGTTTAGGGGTTTGTGGGCAAAAAGGGGGAATTTTAAAATTTTAATGCAAAATAATTGGTTTAAATGCTTTCCCTTTATTTATATAACCTAACTAGCTGGCCCGACAGACGTCGGCCCTCTGAAGCCACCCCTGAAAACTAAGCTGAATACAAACAATGTAACGTCATGTGCTCCAACAATCACATCACTAACACGCTTTAGGTTTAGCTCAGATCAAAGAAACGTGTGTTATGTGTACAGGATGATTGCCGAGGCAGTATCAGTGGCCAAAAGCATTGCAGAGAAGAGCCCTGTGGCTGTGCAAGGGACTAAACGGAGCCTCTTGTACTCTCGGGAGCATACTGTACAGGAGGGGCTGGATCATGTGGTACGTAAAGGCAATGCTAGTTGGTGGTGCTCCTTGCGGACTTATTAACACTGATGCTTAGTCATTTTCCAATCACTAATCTTAGTGGTTATTATCATAAGCAGGAATTTACACCATTTTCAATTGTCGGTAATCCAGATTCCGGAGGCTATAATACCATCATCAAGTTAGTAGTTTGGATTGAAGTTGTGTTAGTTGGTGTCCTAACCAAATGTATTCTTGTTTCAGGCTGATTGGAACCAGATTATGCTGCAAAGTGAGGATTTTATGAATGCGAGTGTTGCTCTGGCCACTAAAAGTCCTCCTCCCATCTTCTCCAAACTTTAATATCTTGCTTGATACCAAGTGGCTTAATGTATTCATATTAGGAGTATAAGATGCTAATTACAGGGCTTTTCAAACACCAATCATAAATTTGTATAGAATTTTGTTTTTATGAAGACTGAATAGCTATTGTATTGTCTGTTACTACTTTTTGTATAATATTTATCTTCTGAGCTCAATAAGATACAGTCCTGAGCTCAATAAGCTACAGTCCAGTAATCATTTTGATTTCTCTTTGGAAATCCATCTGCTTTTGCATTCATATTCAACTCGAAGCATGTCTTGTAATGTGTCATATTTTGTCAAGAGATATTGCTTTCATTATTGATTTTATACCTTTAGAAGTGGAGTGTACTATAAAAGGATGGAAATGTATTAAAATATACTATAACGTGCGTATACAGTAGATATTTTACTATTATATTATCAACATATTTTGATTGTAGATTTATATTTTTATATGAATGTTGAATTAAAAGAGTAATTATTGTAAATCTGCTTTATTTTTACCCTATTTGGATGTAGTGTTCTGAAGGTCTACAAAACCAAATTGGTGATTTCTTTTAAATAGCACTAATAAAAGGATGAAATACCACAATCCATGTAGCCTTGAGACCCGAAGAAAACCCCCCACTTCCTTAGTTGAAAATGCTCAGTGACAGTGAAATATTCCCATTTTTTGTTTCTAGTGCCATAATTCAGATTGCTATATTCACAAAAAATCCTAAAAACATAGGCCATTGTGCTCTATGTTACATCACACATTAACTACTGGTCGGATTGGGCTCAAATTTGGCATGATGTTAGTTTAAATTGCCCATTCTTATCTCAAAACCCTTTTGGGCTCCGCCCCAGTGGCTCTGGGGGTTGCCCATCTTTACCCTATGGGTATTCATATCTAAAAAGAATCAATGAATCTAGATCTAGATACTGACAACACAGAACAAAAGCAAGAAAGCAGTTTTAATGAAACTCCTGGAATGGTAGCACAATACCAACATTACATTGTTACATATGATTTCACAACAACAAAAACAAAACAAACAATTTTTACGTGTTTGTGAAGTGGCAGAGCGACTATAATAGTCACAGTCGTAAAACAAGTTTTATTCACTAAAATAATTAATCTTCTTGCAAAATTAATGTCGATCATTATATTAATAGAATAATGTAGTTGCTGTGACTGGGATACACATGATAAACTGTTGGGATGATTTACGTTTCGTTTGGAAATATCTGAAGACCCAGACCCACCTTTTAAGGGTTTCAAGCTAGGGGTCAGAATTATATACTCTCGAGATGACAAGATAAACCTTTATACTTTTAATACTTTTCAATGAAATTATAGCCTAGCGTTTTGAGCTTTGACCCATTTAAATTATAATTAACTGCTAAATTGTATTGCTAATAATTCACTTATGGATTCTGATAAGTTTACCAGGTACCAAATAGTAAAACATTATACGATAGGCCGAGGTAGCAAGATTCGAGTTTGGTTTATAAAACACAGTAGCCTAAATACTGAATCTCTTCTAATAAATCAGACAATGACATAGGTAATACTAAATTAATTAATTTGATCTTAAATGAACATTCTTTCGTAAGTAATACAACTTTGTCCCTAATTGACAACATGCCAGTTTGTTTGTTTTGATTTAACCTCAAAGATTGAAATGTGAACTTTTAACACATGATCACACTGACTACAGCCAAAAAGGTTCATCCTCAAAGATATTCCAACATACCTCAACCGCTTATAGCTAAAAAATCCAACTGTAGGCCTACATATTTTTGGTCGAGTTTCGACCACTGGACGACCTCTAGTTTTATATAAAACACTATAAAATATTATTTTTTTTATATTTACCTCTATAACTATATATATTCATGTAGGAAAATAAATTTACTCTCATTTTATATAGTTGGTCTGTTGGTTTTATGTGTTTGAAAAATAATATACATGTAGAAATAACAAAATGTTTTCTAGAAAAATACAAACATTTATAAAAGTCATAAATATTTATTGTAATGATAATTTTCCATGAACAACTCTTACTTCATTTGATCTCCCATGCCTTTACAAAAATGTCTACTTTTACTACATGTCTTGATAACACATTTATTTTGTTTGCAAAATTGTGAAACTTACCATTTTATTGGTTTTGGGTTATAACTTTGGAAAAAAAAATGGTAATTGCATTTTTTTACATTTCCATGTAGGGAAATAAATTGCAAACATTTTGTATATCTTGAATTTTACATGAAAAATTTTTGGTTTATGCATCAAAGTTTACTTTCAAAAATTAAAAAAAAAACAATTTTTTATACCTAATGTCAATATTTACTGTTCTAAATATTTATTCTTTTGCCATTTTAAAATTCTTCATTTCATTGCGATCAATTATAGTGTACGGTTTAATAGGTTTGCTCTGTTGGTTTAGTTTATATGACTTTTCAAAATATGACTGCAAAATTGCCAAAAATGCATTGCCACTACAGAGTTTGTCCATTGCCAGTTGGAGGGTTAAGATGGGAGTTACAAGCAGAGAATAAATAATTGTAAAGTAGTTTAAAGAGTGGTTAATTTACCAAACAACCGTCAAGATTCAATTAATATTTTACTCCAATACAAAAAGATGAAGAAAACTATAAAAAACAAGAAAGATAGTTTTTATTGTATATACAAATTTTACAAATAAATTTACTACTAAACTAGATTAAACCTTTTCAAGAAAAAGGTTAGGGTAGAAGTGAAGGCCTTCTATGGTATCGTCTCTGCAGGCTTTGCCAGCTTTCTCAGTAGCCAGAAGTCTTTCTTTGGCCAAAACAACAGAGATTCCGAGTTCTTGAGCAAGTTGTTCAGCACTGATGGAGCCCAAGTCTCGGATCTGAGCAAAACATTAATTAAAAAAAATAAAACTTGCAATAAAATACACAGTAAGAAATACTACAGAGGTAAAATAATTTATATGGGGAATTGTGATTTTAAATACTCAATGAAAAAGTAGTCTTATGGAAAAGTTAAACCAAAAGAGAAACAGTCTATACTCTATAGTTAGGTAGGTATTATAAAATCATACCACATTCAAGACTTTAAACTTTCCACTCAATCTCTGGAAAATGATCAATAGATATTTGAGATGATATGGAGACAAAGCCAGAAAGACTGCATACTTTTGAAACTGTTGAAGCAATATTATGAGTACATCCAGACAATAGTAATATTGTAGACTTCCAGTGCTATTGTCGATAATGCCGCCTTAAGTTTACTAATCTAGAATAGTAGATATGTTCTACAAGACAAGATTCTATTTTGGTTGAGATTTTTTTTCGAGACAAGATTTAAACATTTTTAAAAAAAGGTTAAATTATTTTTTTTATTTTAAATTTAAAAATTAAAAAAAACTTTTCAAAGGCGTTTTCATTTAATTATTAATTTTTTACATGGAAGTGTTGCTTCAATTGTTTTATAAATTTTTTTTACATAGCAAATGATGAGAAGTTTTGTTAGTTTAGGCAGTGTGAGACATGTTTTACTAACTACAGTTGAACCTCGTTTGTACGAACCTCGATAAAACGAATTCCTCGATAAGACGAATTTTTTTAAATCCCCTTGACACTTTCATATAGGTCAATGCTAAAAACACCTCTATACAACGTAGTAATTAAGTTAAAAACCTCCATAAGACGAATTTGTTTGTGACATGGGCTAGGATTGATTAACCTCTATACAACGAATATTCTTAGCACAAAACCTCTACAAGACGAACGTGACCTCTATAAGACGAATTTATCATAATCTTAACCTCCATAGTACGTAGTTTTCAAAACAAACAGAAGCTTGTCTCAACATGAAACCCCCACCCATCCCTCCTCCTTCCTCAGTAATTGTTTGGAGAAACCTTGGAGCGAGGAGAAACCTCTATAAGAAGAATAACAGCACTATTAAACCTCGATAAAACGACCCTCTTTATTAAGAATACCTCTATAGTACGAATTTTTCCCGTACCCCTTGAAATTTGTCTTATAGAGGTTCAACTGTCCTGTAAACATAGACAAAATAAGTCACTCCAAAATCATTCTAAAAATAACACAAGACTTAAAAATTGTTACTGGATACTTAACTAGTAATACTGTTGTTTTAGACTTATCAATTTGATATTTTTCAAAGTTGAACTATATACAAAGTTGATATCTCCATGTTTCCTATGCCGAAGAGTTATTTTGAATAAGTCAGGACTTATTAATATCTTATACTGATGTTTTTATTAATGTTTTTAATAAAATATTTTAAATATTTTTGTCTATTATTATTATTTTTGTATTAACCAGCCTGTCATAAATCATTACCATAGATATTTAAAAATTTAAAAAAATCAGGTTAAAATGTGGAACGAGCATTTCCCATTATGTATGATAAGGGAAATCCCGTCTAGATCTTGTCTAGAAATTTTATGAGAAATAAAAAATCCCGCCTCGTCTCGTCTCGAACTAAAAATCTCATCCATCCCTACACTGTACCTGGTTGGAAACGTCTGCATACAACAAGTTAATGAAGCTATCTAACAAAAGGTCAGCAATAGATCGTATTCCCTTAAAAAAAACATTAACAATGTAAATGGCGTTAGTTTTTATTTACAATTTACATGCAAAATACAAAAGTAAAAACCAGTGTACAAGATTCAGTTTATAATACAAAACAAAATGCACTTATGGATTCATACAAATCATAAAGGACTCACTGACTGCTCGGTGGCCGCTACGACAGCCTCACTGTTTTGAGAGGACAGCTGCAACACCATGACTCCGCTGTCAAACTTGTGTAGCCGCAGTGGCAGTCCGAGCCCAGCCATGGTGTGACACGCGGTCAGTAGATCTTCTGGTGACAATAGCTCCAGACCTCGCGCTCTGTTGACCCGACAATACACGTCTGCCAGTGACATCATGCCTCCCACCTCCTGTACAGTGGTGTGGATTTATGTAGAATTTTTTTTAAATTTGAGCACTAAAAATTGGAAATAACAATCCATTTTATAACCCTTGGAACCATTTTAAAATATCAATTTACAACATCCCAAAAGTGCATACCTTATTTAACATTAAATGGCTTCTGGGTACTCCAAATACAAAAAAATACATTGGTCAATGACTATGGTGAAATGCACTACCCTATGGGAAAATTTGCTGTAAATATTTTGAAGTTGTCCAAGGTGTGTAAACTTACCTCAACAGGTTGTTTTAGAAAGTCTGCAAGCTGCTTGGCTAAACTCTTGTGGAACTGTGTCTCACTGCGGAAACTGTCCCTTGTAACTGGATCATCAATTCCAAGACTCAACAAATATGACTTGAATCTGACAGTCTCATCCTCGGTGATCCCACCCTGCTTCTCCTGGCAAAAATCTAATATTTTTAAAAGTACCCCTACACCCTTTTATCACTGCCAAAATTTAAAATACAATACAATACTTACTAAAAATAGTGGAGGATGCATGTTTGTTACATTTTTATGTAGATTCATAAAACAGTACCTCAACTAATATACGTTTTAATTAAATATTTGGAAATAAATTGATTGACCCACAAGGAGTTTGAGAATAAGTTAAAAAAAGAAACTATATTCAGGTGACAATGTTTAAAAATCAGAGAGAGGTAGAACACAACCTATAGTATTTGTCTTTACCAGGGCCTATAATACGACAGAACCCAGTCAACCAACCTTCTTCATAAAGCCTTTATGTCCAAAAATAATTTTAGAATTTTTATAAGAACAATTTCTTATATAAATAATAATGCTGAACTGTTTAGCAGCATTTTTTGGGTTTGTTTTAAGCAATTTCAATTTAAAAAAAACTTCTAAATTTGTATCAACCTGATTCTTTATACCTCCCTTATTTTTGTTAGGCCTACTTCTTTATCCCCAGATAAAATCCTTAGTTTCAAAGTTCTTCAATAATTAATATGGGTTTCTTTACACTTAACACAAAGAAAGACTGTCTCTAAGAGCATGAAAAAGAAAAGTATTAAAGGGGGAAATGAGATTATGGGTACCATAACCTTCTCTTTAAGAAATCAAGCATTTACCTTTCTAAATTATTACATGCAACTGCTTAAACGTAGACACTCCTTGAAAACAAATAGCAGGCCAACAAATAGCAAATAAGTGTTATCTTACCCTGATTTTATCAGAAATGTTTTTGGCTACATTCACCATGTCCTTTGCCATTGTCATCAGTTTGCTGAGGTCTTGAAATGCTGCAGAAATATTTTGGTCTGTTTGTTTGTGTTTTTCTTGTATACTCCTCTCGATACCCACAATTCCAGTTCGTGGTTTTATAACCTATAAACATACAAAATGAATACCTGGATGAATTAGGCCTACTGAAGTTTTCAACAATTCAGCTAAAGAGAATTACCTCCAAGCTTACAAGGGTTGTCTGTAAATTGATGTCTAAACTTTGCTTTTAGTTTAAATCTACCAACCGCTCTGTGTTTTGTACGTTTCCCACCACTATTCTAGTATAAGTACTTCACTATCAACAGATTGTTATATTAACAAAACCACGCTCTGCTACCATGTTGAAATTAAAGAAAATAACTACTGTTGATACAGGAAAGAATAATTGTATTTAGGCATTTTGCTATGTTCACATCTTACAAACTCATTTTATTTGTTTATATGACGAAGCTGCATTAATAATAATAGCACAGCTGAAAAAAAAACATAGAGGAAAATTATTGAAATGACAGATAATTACATATCTTAACAAGTCTTGTTGTAGTAGTTGTAATCAATAAGGGAAAATTGGGGTTTACCCTTGTCCAAGGTAGCCTTGGAGTAGTCTTTTGTCAGTTTGTCAATATCTCGCAAAGTTACAAATAAAAAAATGTTATCACTGCTTCATCCAGATTTGAAGGACCCTTGTTGCTGGCTCTGTCCTATACATGCGCACAACTTTCTGTGAACTACTTACAAGCACATTTCTTATATTAAAACACTTTTGTGCGGTGCCCGATTGCTCATCTTCTAAAACAGCGGTTTTTTCCACCTTCACATCCTAAAACATAGACTAGCATTGAGTATACACATACTAAAGTATACACTCAATGGGTGCTACTGTTACCTGAACAACGCTGTTGCAGAGTAGCATCAGCGGCTTGAACTACCTCGAGCATGTCGGTAAGTCAATTTCGTTGTTTTTTAATACTGTTTTTATTGTAGGTTATGAAATATAGTCTTTGTTGATGAAATAATTTGTTTGTTTGTTCGTAGTTCTATTGCTTTACAACGCATTTTGAATACTAAATGATTTAAAGGTTCACAGAGGCACTACCACGATCCAAGCATCAGCAACCCAAACTACGTCACCAAATCAGTAACAACTATTAGCATTATCTGTCTCCTCTTGTATTCTCAATGGCTACAACCCAATGGCCAAGACCCGTTTGCTACACATAGTTCAGGCTAGGCCCAGAGGGTTGCAGCATTTTCACTTAGATAAAATCCATTGATGATTGGTGGGATTTGTAAACGAGACCTTGGAGACCCAAGTCCCGTCCTTCACCACTAAGCCAGCTGGCTCTTTAAATACCAGTGAGACTAGCAAAAATACCACAAATTTTAGAACATCAAAAGAAAATTGTCAACCGGCACAATTATTAGCAACTTGTATGTAATTGTACTTTTTTAATTTATTGATTGCAACCAATGTCTACCAACCCCTGACTCTGCCAATCCCCAACCCTCACACTAACAGCTGAAGTTTTAAGAAGGAAAACACAAAACCCGCAAAGGACCTTAATGATATCAAATATATTTCTAATAATTTATAAGGTAAAGTGTTAAGGTTGTGTGCCACTGTTTTTAATAATAATATTATGATTATTAAAATTTTATACACATGGTTGTTTAATGGTTTCATTATAAATTGATGAAACTACAAAAAACTAAAAACTAAGTACTACTTGTTTCAAAAACACACAAATTGATATATTTATCATTTGTTTTTAGAGAACAATTTTGTCAAACCTCACAAACCACTAAAAGTTTTTACGTTTAAAATCACATCCCTAACTTACTACCCAAGTAGTATCCAAACTACTCTTGATATCCAGGAAAATTAAATTGAACTAGAGGACCAATGCTGCTCCGCAGCGTTAAAATAAATATAATATCCGAGAAAAAAATCAAATTTATGATTTTTGATTGAGTAATACAGTATCTTAAGCTTAACTGATTTAAACGATCAATAGCTCAAATTAAAGCCTATAATTGAATGGTTATTTCGAGATAAAAAAAAAAAAAATACGTAGCTTAAATGAAAGCCGGTATTTCACTGAAGGTTCTTAGACCAAAATATGTAGGATTATATAATTATAACTGGTGAAATACATTTTAATATAAAGTAAGAATTCAAAAATAAATCATATTATGTTTTTTGGTCGAGTAATACCTGATTTACTGTTTCACTTTGATGTCCCCAGAGGCCAAAAACACCATTCGTTCAAATTTATATACATATTTGTCCAATAAATTGGGAATTGGAAAAACAGTTAATGTGTTCATCAGATGTAATCAAGCAATGTGTTCCCCAATTTATTGAGTTGCACATTGTATATGGTTGTTAGGTTGTTATAATTATAATTGTATATTAAATTAAATTGTATGCTTATTTTACCAAGTTATTGTTATGTGTAGTGAAGTGTGAAGAACTTTTATTTTGATGAAGCAGCCAGTAAGGACCCTATCACGCACAGGTTATTGTGACCCATGTGATATTTTTATTTTTTAATGTATTGCTGCAAAATAATGTGTATAAATAAAGAATTTCTCTCTCTCTCTCTCTCTCTCTCTCTCTCTCTCTCTCTCTCTCTCTCCAATACTTATAATCAGCCCCACGCCCCCACATTATTTATTTTAAAAACTCTTTGATTTAATATGTTCATATTAATTTTACTAGCTGATGTTTAATTATTCATTGATACTGTTTATATCTCAGTGTTAAAAAATGTTTCTTTCTTAAAAAAATACAGTTTAACTTATTTTTCAATGTATTATTTCTTTTATTCTCATCTAAAATACAGTCCTTATTAATTATCACACATATTTTTTGGTCCTTCGAGCCGGATTATTTACTTGAACCTTTTATTTCAATTAACTAAATTTTCTAAATTCTTTGATGTTTTAAACTTGTCTACCTATGTCTAGGAAGAAAGAAGATCAGATTACTCAAGAGATAACTGTTTTAGAGTTTCAAATTAAGAGACACTTTTGCCAAGAAGATAAAAACTCTCCATTCAATCAGTGTTGACTTACTTAATGATCCAACACAGTGTACACTTGTACAAAGTTTTCAGCTTTGTCAATCGGGGAGCGTAGAGATGCTGCTCAATCAAAACGAGCCTGTTTCAATTGTCTCAGCATTGGGCATATTTTGGACAATTGTACTTCAACGTCTACTTACCGAAGCTGTGGTAAACAACACCATACACTTCTCCACGACGAGTCTCGTTCACATCAAAGAAAGTCAGATCAGGTATGTCATGAGTCACATTTTTACAAAAGCCAAACAAACACTTCCGAAGGTGACAAGCCAGTAACATCAGGATTTGGATCTCAAATACTTCAGTGTTACTTGGTACAGCAGCTATTCAAGTGAGTGATTCATTTGGTAAATATAGGACATTTCAAGCTCTTATTGATCCAGGATCTCAAGCTTAATTTATTAGTGAACGATGTGTTCAACAGCTTGGTCTTCAAAGACAAAAGTTTAATGCTCCAGTACAAGGACTATCTCAAACATCAGTTAAGGAAAAGGGGTGTGTCAATTTCACTATCAAACCTCGCTTCCAACATGGGCCCATCCTAAACACTAACGCTATTGTTCTCTCTCAAATTACATCTTCTTTACCTTCTACTTCTCTTGACCCTGAAATAAGAAAATACTTCCAACGCTTTGAACTCTCAGATCCACATTTTGATGTTCCTGGAGATATTGATGTTTTGCTCGGAGCTGATTTGTACCCAGACATTTTTGATGGTGGGCGGAGATCTACCCCTCGCGGTATGCTTACTCTCTACCACAGCATTTTTGGTTGGGTTCTAATTGGACCTACTAAAGTTCACCACCCAAGAAAATCCTTTCTTACTAAAGGACCATCAAACTATTATGAAAGAAAAGACAACTCCAGAGACAAGAAGATGCCAACCTACTCTGCTGGATCTAAAGGAATCAGCAATTTTTCAAGATCCTACAGAATCCAAACTAGACCAGAATTTCACGTTGCCAAGGATATGTCAAATAAGAAAAACCACTAAAGTTGTTTTTGGTAGGCGGTTATGTTCAGTACTTATAATCAGCCCCACATTATTTATTTTAAAACTATTTGATTTAATATGTTAATATTCATTTTACCAGCTGATGTTTAATTATTGATTGATACTGTTTGTATCTCAGTGTTAAAAAATGTTTCTTTCTTAAAATACAGTTTTCTTTTATTCTCATCTAAAATACAGTCCACTTATTAATTATCACACATAATTATATATATATATATATGTATATGTGTCCGTCCAGACGATAACTTGGGTAATTTTTGTCCGATTTTGATAAAATTTGGTTTGAAGGTGTAAGGTGCGATAAACTTGAATGAGTTCGCGAACCAGCATGATCGGACCATGGGAACGGGTTTTATGGGGTAAAAAGACTTTTTCTCATTTTTTACCCTTAAAACACAACATTTATAAATTTTTCTCCAGACCTTTTTAAAGAGCTTAAAAAAAATAATTTAGTATTTCAAGTGTTTTTGTACAGTGATTGGTTACAGAGAAAATTCAAAAAAATTTTAATTTAAAATTACCATGTTACAGTGGAACCTCGATAAGAAGACCCTCGATAACAAGTCACTCTCGATAACAAGTGTCATTTTGAAATCCCCTTGAATTTATTTTACCCCAAATCACATGTTATTGCAAACCTTAATAAGGAGTCAACCTTGATAACGAGTCTCATTTAATAATCCCCTTGAGAGTCTTGTTATCAAGGTTCTACTGTATTATTACCTATGGAGAATATTGTATAATGTAGTTGGCTTGTTTATGGATATATTTTGATCAAACTTGGCGGATTTATTTATTTCATACTAAGCTATTGATATTTTAATAAAAAACACACTTTATTAGTTTCCCTGTAGCAGCTAACCTAGGTACTTGTTAAACATAAATGTTAATTTAACCCTTCCCGGATGGGTGACGGATGTATCCGCCTAAGTCTTTGGCGATAAAGGACGGATAAAGGTGGCGGATATATCCGCTTATGGTTTTGATGATCCGGACAGGAAGCGGATATATCCGCCTTCTCTTCAGACAGACTGGCAGGTGCTTGAGCAGTAACCAGATGTTTCGCGGTACCAAGGCGCCACTCTCCTGCTCTCTCCATGGCTCTCTCCTGCACTCCCCCCTCTCCCCCGCGCACCCACCGCTTCTCCTACGCTCCCCCCTCGACGTTTTGTGCTCAACACTATGTTGTCATTATTTATTGTTAACATATTGTTCTTTATTTATTGCCTAACGTTGTCATGGACATATCTTCAAAGACGGGTGGCGGATATACCCGCTGCTTTTCTACTCTTCTGCGGACAGGTAGCGGATATATCCGCATGGTTAAAAATGAGTAAAAAATCATTTTGACAGTATGAAGTGTTCCATTGTGTTTATTTTATGTATACTTGTATAACAAAACACTTACTTACTTACTTACTCCCAGGGCCATTTATATCGGAGGTGATATTTGGCCGCACCAACAAATCTTCGCCAAGTTAACCGGTCTTTCGCATCATCCTCCGTTGCCCCAATTCTCTCCAAATCTTCTTGCACTTGCTTCCACCACCTCTGCTTAGGTCTTCCCCGGGGTCGTCTTCCTGTAGTGTTTCCCTTTAAAACTCTTCCCAGTCTACAATCTTCATCTCTTCTTAATATATGACCAGCCCATCTGATTCTTCGGCACTTGATTTCTCCAATTACATCTGTGCTATTATACAGTTGCCTTAATTCCCTATTGTGTCTTATTCTCCATTCTCCTAGCTTGAATATTGGTCCAAAAATCTTCCTTAAAATTTTATTTTCGAATACTATTAGTTTCTTTTCATCTCTTTTATTTAATTTCCAGGTTTCTGATCCATATAGGAGAACTGGGCAAATTATTGTTTTGTACAGTCTGATTTTTGTTTTCCGGGACAAAGATTTTGATGAAAGTAATTTATTGCAAGCATGAAAACATTTATTTGCTGAATTTATTCGGCTTTGGATTTCTAGTTCATCAGTATAACAAAACACAAATAAGGAAAATTAATTTTTAATTTTTCCTATAATTTTTTCCTGTTCTATCCCACGATTTCGCCCGTCTGGGAAGGGTTAATAGATTAATTGAAAATCAATCCAGGCAAATGGAAATTCGCTTAGTCGGCAGGTTTGCTGCAGCGGGGGTATTTTTGCATTTATGACAACAGCTAGTATTATTATTATTATTATTATTATTTCTTTGTCATGAGAGCCGAAGCCCCCTGACTGCGTACCCGGTACCTATCCTTGAGGACATACCCGGGCCCCATGATGTAGGCCGAAGCTTACGCATCAACCTTTAGCACATCATGGGCGGATGACTTAAGGTCATCAGGCTCGCCGGCTGCTGAAGCAGACCCTTCGGAAAGAGGGTTGCCCCTCAATCCTAACCAGGGATTCCGGCTGCTTGTTTAAGCGTCACTCCACCTGGGTTCCCCCAGGTACAAGCCCTAGAGGACCATAATGGAGCGCCCCGACGCATTTAGTGCAAGCAACACTCGGGACCTATCTAATCCCTGACAGGCAGAACCCGCCATCATAGCCAGAAGGAAGGGGACCGTCAGCACCTCCCATTTACACCACTACCCGATCGAGACCTTACCCAGTTGCTGGGAAACCAGAGATAACCAGAGCGATAGATCCCCAGATACCCCTGGCGGGCTCGGACCCAGCACCCGATCTACTTCGTTTGCCCGTCAGACCCAACATCACTGCCAGGCCATCAGGGTTTCCCAAAAGGAGGCAGGTATAGAAGTGGGACCCACCCGGATGAACCTATCCACCAGAGGTGGCGACACCCTTGACTCAATTGAGGTTCCAGGAAGAACCCCCCACACTCAAGATAACCATACCGTCCGTGCTCAGAGACAGGGATTGGTTTGCATAAGTGCCTACAAACCGTTACCCTCACACTGCAGAAAGTTACGTTGCCCTTGAGTGTCCCCGTGAGCTACGGGTACTTGCCCGTTTTCACCTCCAGGAAAGGCTACTTCCAAAGTCGAGGATTTGCCACACTGAATGCTGGTCGAACACAACAAGCAGGCCGAAGCCCAAAGAACCACAGACACAGGTAGGTTAGAGAATATGATGCACTTCCATCTCTCCTAGAGCTAAACACCCCTCCATCCTGGATAAAGGAATGTCACTGGGACCCAATGCCCAGTCGTCCATGTCTGTGGCCTACTTGAAAATGCCGTTACCAACACCGAGCACTTACCTCCCCTTTGGGGGCACAACAGCTAGTATGAACCAACAAGCAAGAAAAAGCTGTGGTACACAATGAGAACTTGAAGTTTTTCTATGGTTTAGGTGCCAGTGGTAGAACATTATGGCTGTGGTATATGTACTATACTGTAGCGGTTATAAATTCAAAGAACCAAATTTTCTTAAACCCTGACCTCTCCCATAACTGCAATAAACATTTTATACTTTTATATGTCAACCCCGTACAAAGGACGGGTACTCAGCTAGTTTAAAATAAGTGACCAATTAAATGACTTGCCCTGTTTTGTTGACCAGCTGCATTTGTTGGGACCACTGGACTCTTCTCCCACTGTCGCATTTCAATACTTTGTTGCAAAAGCCCAATAAAGTCATTTCGGAGCCCATCTTTGAAGGAAAGTTTAACATAATCATATAAACTCTTCAAGCATGGTCCAGAAGTTTTATCTGAAAAAATACACATTGCACCAAAGCAATAAAGTGATGAAACTCGCCAGAAATTGGTAACACAAGAAAATAATCACAATTCAAAGACAGCCAAGTCTGAGTGAAAGTTAGTGTGGGATGTGCTTTAAATTGGGTACGGTAGCTATATTACTAATATCGACTATTTCATAACGCAAAGGTTGTTAATATACGGTACTTTTGAGGGGATAATTTGTTCGAGTTTTCAGTTGTCCGAGTTTGTTAATAATTACAAAATATTAGAAAAATCAGTTGTCCGAGGTTTGATAAATAACTAATTATATTTAGATAAATCAACTGTCCGAGTTTTCATTTGTCCGAGTTTATTAAATTATTTTAAACTATATTAAAATATCAGTTGTCCGAGTTTTCATTTGTCCGAGGATGGTCTAAATAATAATAATATTTGGTTAAATCAACTGTCCAAGATTTCATTTGTCCGAGTAGCGTTAACATAAAAAATGTGACACCGCGCGCCGAGACTAGCGTCTTAGGCGCGTGGTCAGAAGCCGATGTAAACCTCTTCTGCGAAGAAGTGGGGCATTGTGCGAGAGCCCCTCACGTCAACTTAAGAAAAATTATATTATATCCTTTAGCAAATTTCCCTACAGGGAAGTAGCTATTACCGTAGGTGGCACGGTAAGACCTAGACCCGGGACCGATTTACTTTTTCATTTTGATGTCCCCTGAGGCCAAAAACACCATTCATTCAAATGTTTATATATGTATATATACAGGGTGGGGCAGAGTGGACTCCCTAGTTTCAATCAGTCGCTGAAGAGCGTGCGCGCGAGTTAGCGGAGTGGGAGAGGTTTCATGTGGTGGGGTGAAAGACGCCATTGTTAGTAGTCACCATGCCGTAAACTGGCGAGCATCGTGGTTTTGTATTCAAAACGTTCTTTAAAAATAAGGATAGTGTTGTGGCGACCCAGCGAGCATTTCGTAGACGGTTTGGTTTGAATTGTCATGATAGTGTTCCCGATGCTAAAACCATAAGGAAATGGATTACAAGTGTACGGGTGACCGAATCTGCAACTGAGGTTTACAAAGTTCGACCAAGGACCTTGGAAGCCCTTAAGGAAGCAATTGTTGATGTTATCACTGGAATAATGCCAGATATGCTGCGTAGAGTTTTTGGAAACTTCATTGAACGGCTGAATATGTGCATCGCTCGTCAAGGTCTTCACCTGGACGATATCATTTTTAAAACTTAATGAAAAATAAATGGCATTGTATTTAGATTTCAGAAATAAAAAGCGTTTGTATTAATCTTGTATGGTTTTTATACAGTTAACCGATCAAATCAGGGAGTCCACTCTGCCCCACCCTGTATATATTATATATATATATATATATATATATATATATATATATATATATATACAGGGTGACACAAAGGAACCGGACGTTTTTGAAATAAGTAGTACACAGTAGTTAAAAGGAATAAACTGGTTTTAATACTGTACATAGTGAGGTAAACATTTGCCATTTGTTACAAAACCGTCATTTTTTGAAAATGACGTCATGCATACGGCGGCCATGTACTTATCTACAAAAGTGTATTCTGGTCTGAAAATCCTCTGAAACTCGGGTCAGGAGGTTGAATGCCATTGATATCTTCTGTGATTGCAAACTTCAAATCCTCTAGAGTGCGTGGTTTTGGAGCATGAACACGCTCCTTAAGAAACCTCCAAAGGATATAATCACTAGTGGACAAGCCAGATGATCTTGGCGGCCACGGCATGTCACCAAAGCCAGAAATCACCTTGTTAGGAAACATTCATTCAATACTGCTCTCTCTCTGGCGATGTTTTTGTGTGTTCTCGAAGCTCTAACAAGGCCTGGTGGTTGCTTTCTTGTTATATTCCCAGTTGTTCGGAACCCTGAAACCCATCTTAATAGTGTATTTCGGCTTGGAACCGTTCCATGGCGTTCAATATCAAAATGTCGACTAAATTCCCGCTGGATTTGACGACGGATTCACAATTTCGGATTAAAGTATTGTATGCGAAAACGCGATGGTCTAGGGTCCACTGAGCCATTTCAACAAAAATGGCAAGCCTCACTGAAAGTAATGACATAACTTCAATCTTCCTACCACGTGCAACAACAATGGAACAGCTGTTTAAAAAACGTCCGGTTCCTTTGTGTCACCCTGTATATATATACGTCCGTGAATGTAGTAATAATTTAATAATCCGTGAGTAATTTTTGTCCGATTTTGGTGAAATTTGGTTTAAGGGTGTAAGGCGGAATAAACTTGAATGAGTTCGCGAACCAGCATGATCGGACCATGGGAACGGGGTTTTACAGGGGGTTTATGGGGTAAATATTGGGTTTTCTGATTTTTTACCCTCAATACACAAAATATTCCAATTTCTCTAGACTTTTTAAAATAAACGTTATCAGCAATCTGACACATAATTTATCCCATTAGCTTGTCAACAATCTTTATCATGGGTAAGCGATGAGAGTAACTATGATATTTAATAGGTTAAAAATCTAAAGTTTCATTAACTTTTGAACAGTAATTTTAACAGGAATGAAGGGATGCACTATTTTGTTTAGAATTATAAGGACCATAAGAGAAGAATTTAGAGCAGAATGGGTTTTTTCAAAAAATCAAATTTTACGTTATTAAATTGGTGTTTTGAGGAAAGTGTACGGACCGATTTTTGAGGATCGAGACATAATTGGGAACTTAGAGAATTATTTAAGGATCCGGATATTGTCGCTGAGGTACGGAGCAGAAGACTGAGATGGGCAGGGCATATTCTAAGAAAAGATGACAACTCCCTATCAAAGAACATCTTGAGGAATAACCCAGAAGGTGGAAGACCTCTTGGAAGACCGAAAATTAGATGGTTCGACCAAGTGGAGAAAGACCTGAGGAAGCTAGGGAGAAGGAAGGAAGATGCAAGAAGGAGAGACCTATGGAGGCAGTGTGTTGGGGAGGCCAAGTACCATCAAGGGTACCAGTGGCCACAGCAGTAAGTAAGTAAATTGGTGTTTTATGGGAAAATAACATAAGTTACAATAACTTACGCAGACCTATCCAATTGTCAGGAGCGGCTCCAGGAATATTTTCTTGGGTAGGCCTGACATATATCATGAAAGAGTTTGATTGGGGGACGAGAGGTTTGAAGACTTTCCTCGCAAAAAGGAAGGAATTTAAAAATTTACATGCAAAATAATAAGTTTGAATGCTTTCCCTTTATTTTCATATAATCAAATTTCTTTACTTATTTATATATTTTTTAAATCTACCAAAACTTAGGGTAGGCCTGGGCCTACCTGGCCTGCCCTCTGGAGCCGCCCCTGCCAATTGTCCATAACCACAATTAATTCGTTGTCAGGTTTTGGTACCGGTACTTTTTTGCTAGAACCGGGAGTAGCGAGAATAATTTTTGGATACCAAAACATCACTATTTACAACTTAGATATCGTTGATTTTGCACCTTTCTTACTATCATATTAAATTTAATTAATGTCTTTACTGTATAAGATTTGCGTTTTCTGTCTATGTTCCACATCTCATACGTTTATAATATGAATATTTTAACAGATTTTAGCAAACCGTCATGAATTGTTACGTATCAACCTTTAGGCCCTAGACATTGGGGAGTGGAAGTCTAAATTTAGTACGTTACAATTACGCCAATGACCTTGAGCTCTACTAGCAAGATGCCGTGGTATGGTGGCGTGTCGGGAAGAAGGGTAAAGGGTTTAATTATTGTTCATGCTTACTCATTCGCTCTTACCCACATACAAACTTTTTTCAAGCCTAAAATGAAGAATGAAGATCCAACTTCTATATTCGTTTGGAAAACGTCAGTCTCAGAGGCAAGCAGGCCCACTTTTATAAACGGGCAGACTGGGCATATGCCCAGGGTCGCCGATGGTTGGGGGGCGCCCCCAACCACCGCCTGCACTAGGAAAAATTGGTTTTGATCAGCCAGGATTTCAAAAATAAAATGGGTGATTTTAACTTGTAGTTAAGTGATTTTCCCTTACTGTAAAAGTAAATAAATACAATAAAATTGAAAATACTTCTTCAGATTATGCCTTTGTGTAGTCAGGGAAAGGCAGGCAGCAGTATGAACAGGACACACTCACTATTCACTATCAAAGGTAGGGCGGTATTCCTGTAGACTACAGCTGGTGACGTGCCCCTACTACTCTCCCTCCCACCAATCATCGCGACACCCACCCCTGCAACTAACCGCGCGGCGCCAGCAATCAGCAATTTATATCTAGGGGCGCCAAGTAGGTTGTGTTGTTGTGCTTGTGCCTTCTGCACAGTCGTCAAATCAACACAACCTAACCTGTGACAGTCATTAGTCAGTTTTGACATTCACACTGCAGTTAGTGAACCAGTAATAAATAAATAGAAGTGTTGATACAAGTAGGCCTATAAACAGTGAAAAAAAGCATAAAAACCCTAGTGGAAGTGGAGCCGAGAACCGCAAGCGGTTGGCTCAAAGAAAACAAACTCAAGAATCAGTTTTAAAGAAAGTGAAGTGTATTAGGCCTAACCGTAGTATTTTTAACTGATACTGAATTGAAAACTCTGGATATTGAGAACTCCCTCCTGAACAAAAATTGGTCAAAACATGCTAATGTATAAATAAAAAATACATATATATGCATAGGCCTATCGTTCAATACGTGTGCACACTGTACTGTACTGAACAATAATCACTGCGTAGTGCATTAGCATGTATAGCATGCGCATAGCAACTGACAAGTTCAATACCCCCCCCCCCAACCCACCTGCTGTGGATTTTGGCGAACTGATGAGTCAACCCCCTTCCCTTTTCACCTCCCTACACCGCTGTGGTCAAAACCTTTTAGTTATATATATAAGGGGGCGCTGCTTTTGGGTTTGCCCAGGGCACCACTGACCCTTAACGCGGCCCTGGAGGCAAGTCTAGACTGTTCCTCTGCCTGCGCGGTCCATTTCACAAGTTACTGTCTTCACT